TTTAGCATTAACTGGTTAGCTAGCAGGGCTGACTAAAGTTAGCACACAGCTAATGCTAGCTATTTAACAACAACATGGGATACAAGGAGTAGCGCGATTTAGGTTGTTTTTCAAACAGTAGGCCTCTTTGTTTAATTTCATACTAATTTACACTATATGAGAGCTAGCTAACTGTTAACTGTCGCTGTTAATTTGCAAGAAGTGTCACAAGCCAGCTAACGCTTCGGTGAAGTAAGCTAGCATAACTTAGTCATTGTAAAGCTGTAGCTTAACGTTGGATGTTTTATTAAGATAAAAGCCCGCATTCAACCATGTGACTGACAAATGTAACGTTATATTTCTGCCATGACGTATATAATCAGCTATACGGCATTAACGCGTGTAAGATATGTCTCGTAACACATGACTGCAGCAAACCTTAGTGTTCATTACCACTCCACAATCAGCACAATGCGCATCGTATGCGGGGGGTTTATATTGTTTAACCACGGTCAAGGCAGAAGAGTGTCTTGGACTCAGGTTGCATGTCTTTTTATTGTATGGTTTCTTTTCGGCCAGGTTACCTGACCTCTCCTCACGTTGGCCAGGATCCCCCCTACACTAGAGATGCCCAGCATGGACCTGCATTCCCCAGCCCAGTGGTCCCTGCTTCGTCCTCGGGTGAATGCATCAGACAGTCAATAACCTCACTGACTGTACTAGGAAAGGGACCCACTCTCAGAATAGTGTAGTACATAATTATTGAGGATTATAACACAAATTAAGTTTGATATTGTGTCAGGGATGAGTTATTCCAGACAAAGTGATCCAATTAACTTGCACCAAATCTTTATTTAATTACAGTGAATATTTTAGCTTAACCCTGTAAAGCTTGACACATAGCCAGAACATTCTATTTTTTTGGAACTGAGATGTTTATTAAACCTTGTAACAAAATCCAAAAAATAATGTGCCATATTATTATTATTATTATTATTTTTGTATCACATTTGATACATGGGGCATTTTTGGCAACTTTTTTTTGCTCAGAAACTTGCGTAGCAAATATGATATAAATGGATTTATAGGGTTAATATGGGAGATCTCTTGTAACTGTGTGTTTGCTGTTTGGTAGTGTCTCCTGCAGATGAAGAGAGCTACACTTCCAAGTGTCCTAGTGGGGGTTTGTGTAGGCACCTGCCACCTGACTGCATTCACTGCAATTATCAACACAACTGCACCTATGGGAAACCAGCTTCCTTCACTTGTAAACCAAAAAAAGGGGTTCACTGTATTGTGAGTAACATTTATTATGTGATAGTGCTATGGTGCATAAAAGTAGAGTATGGATGGACGATGTATACTTAGAAGTCTATACCTTGTTTAGTGCATTGATTAAAAAGAGAAGGGAAACATGGCACATTTTGTCATTGGAGCACAAATGCTCCAATTAACTTTTATACTGGAAGCTGTCAGCACTTATTGACAAACAGTTCTGCATGGTGATAGAATTACTGTGCTGTAAGAAACAGCTTACTTTCTTTTGGGAATAGTTGTATAGTGATAATCTGTTTTTGTATTCTCAGGGAGAGTCAGGACAAGCCCAAGACAACTTCTCTCTGACCATCACCTGTCAGTTCTGCTGGCAGTTGGATCCATCCCAGTACCGCTGCTCAAACTCCACCAATTGTATGACAGTCTCCTGCCCACGCAAGCGCTACAATGCCACCTGTGATGTGTTGGGTCATGTACATTGTTTAGGTATGGTAAAGGCTCTGCTGTAAGACTGCAAGGTTTCTTTCCTTTCAGAGTAGTCATGCCTCAGTCCAAGGCACTGTAGACAGTCATTTTGGAAGGGAGAGTTTTACAGATTTTCCCATCCAGTTGAACATGGCCATTATGCTTAAAACAAATGAGGGTTGAAAATGGAGATGTTTTGCTGACTCAAGTGACTTTTGACTTTGTCCTATAAGCTTGCTAATTTCACTTTTATTGTTTGGCAAATGTAAATCAGACAAAATAAACAATATAGACATCCGTAATATATGACTTCATCTTAAACATTGGTAACTGTCAGTGTGATAGTAATATTTGTGTCGCCCACAGTAGTATTTTTGAGTTCATCACCACTTAACCAGTCCCCTGTCAGTCAGTCACTGAACAAAAGCCATTTGTAAAGAGATGAGCTAGTGCAGACTACTTCCCAGATGTTTTCTGAAGGTGAGCTACATTACTACACAGTCTGGAAACCTGACTGAAAACCAAAAGCACAGTATTTTACAAAATAAAATGTCCTTTGCAAATGTTTGGTCAAATGTTAGGTTTTTGACTTTTATATTATAGTTTTGTTTAGGGAAATGTGGCTCACTCATGCTCATTGATCTTTCTGAATATTGTGTTTTTGGCTCTTTTTTTTTTGGGAAGTGTGAAGATCAAGGTAATCTTATGTCCTTTTTCTTTTTTCTTATTTTTGGTAGGTAAGAGACGTTTTCAGAAACGGCTGTTTTGCAACTGGACTGGAGGATACAAATGGTCAACAGCATTAGCACTCAGGTAAACCTGCCACCATCAGAAGAAAAACAACTTTTCTTAGTCATGCCCTGGTAGCTGAGTTGTTACAGTGTATGCCATGAAACTTTAGTGTTCATGGTCCAGTTCTATGTGGACCATGTGTCCTTTCTGCATCTTCACTTATTGTCAAATAAAGGCAAAACACCAACAAAAATGTTCATTTGGGATGTGTACTCCTGTGTCAGTTCTGACTTTATCTGTGTTTTCCCTAATCCCTTTGTGTAGCATCACACTTGGTGGTTTTGGGGCAGATCGGTTTTATCTGGGCCAGTGGCGAGAGGGTCTGGGCAAACTCTTCAGCTTCGGAGGCCTGGGCATTTGGACTTTGATAGATGTTCTTCTGATAGGAGTTGGTTATGTGGGACCTGCTGATGGTTCTCTCTACATATGAAGCAAAGCTCTGGAGACATAGCTGGATGGTTTGTACTCTCCTTTCAAAGATTCAAGATCTCAGATGCTGTCTACTTAGCACATTTCCTTGCTCAAACGTGTCCTCATCCCATCTGCTAACAGGCAGGAAGTGTTGAGAATAACTCTACCCACACAACCATCAGATCAGTCCGAATCATTCTGCATCCATCTCCTGTTGAGATTTTGCAGAAAGAGTTGTGCATTATATATGTCTGGTTAGTTTGACTTAACGGGTGGTTAGGCTCCCTCATGCTGATAGGTTCGGTTTCATGTGGAGACTTGCTTTAACAGACCTCGTGTCACCATGTAGCTATGTGTCAAATAGCTACAAGGGATGTGTCAAATGGTAGCCATAACTACAGATTTATTTTTGGTGAGACGGGACACAATGGACAACATTCTCGAAAGAAAGCATGAAGATGCAGGACAATACGCGTTTGTTTTTATTGACAGCAGATACATGTGGATGAATTCCATGGTTATTTGGCATGCAATATACACTAAGTAAGCAGTGCAGGTCACAACTGTAAGTCTTGCCCCAAGGGCTACATTCTATATATGATAGCCTAGCTTTTCAGAAAAAGAGAAAATGGTCACTCACTGCAATGTGTAGTTTGAATCTTGGGAAATGCACAGATAATAATCAGTGTAAATTTGTACATGATGAATATTGAAATACTTGTTTTGCAGATGTGTTGCACTAGAAAACTTCATCTAACTTGTGGCTTCCCTTGGAGATTTTGGAGATATGCCGTGCATTAAGTTTGTATTTTTTCTCATGATCATTTTGTAAAAAAAATTTCTCTGTGTACTAACACTATCTTTGCTTGAGACTGGCACAAATTGATTAACATCTCACTTTATGTACATATGTTTTCAGTGTCAGGGCCATTATACTTTGTTGTGTGAACACTGTAAATGACACTTTTTAAGTTATGTAAATAAAACTGTCAAGTATCTCATATGTTGTGTTTGTATGACACAGTTACACAGTAAATCAGTTAAACCATCTTTTTACAGCAACACTATTTAATTCCACAATTTATGTAGATATCTCTGTTTACAGAATGACAAGGTACATAAATTTAAAAAAAAGGGGGGGGCATTTTTCTTTGTAGTAGGTTCTTGTTTGTGTCGACTTTTCGAATTGGCTGCTTATCTGAGGCGGTGAGGAAGCTGCAAATTTTCTCCACCCTAATTCTAGTTCCTCAAATGTGACACTGCCCACTCACAGCCACATTAGCTCCCTCCCACAGACTGATTCAAGTGTATATCCAGTATACTCTGAGTTAAGGAGTCACCTGCAATATATTTTGTAAAGAGACTTTTTTTCCCACCTCTTGGAAAACTGTAATTTAGGGCTTTGTAATTGTGCATCCACAAGATGCTCCCTATAATTGTTGCTGCTGGCTTTTCCAGCATGACCTCACTTTGTCTGAATCATACTTTGTGGTTAGGTGCAGGTGTGAATATGTTTATTTACATAGTGATTTTGCTGTACATTATTGTCAGTGGGTGTAATATTTAAAGCATATTTACGGGTCACGTTTAGATGCTACTAAGTAATAAACAAGTATGCAGTGTATAGTGGCAATGACAAATGATGGTAGAAGAGTACAGTATAACAAAAGCTGAATACACAACATGACAAATGCAGATAGGTTTTATTCTTTAACACTAATCTGATGTCCACATCTTAATAATTTTGTCTGGCAAAAATCAAGTCTGGACTAAATTGCTGTAAATTACTGCTCTGAATAACTTTTCTACATTGATGGCTACAGCCCAATTACAAATAATTGCCAGAGTGGTATTTGGTTTTGTAATTATCTTTTATGATATTCCTATTTGCGGTGAGTAATGGTCATTATATAGAATTTCATCTTAGGAGAATAATAGTTACATTTTTTCATTTTTATGTCAAACAGTCATTACTCACAGTATTAGAATGAGTAGTAATTGGGAACTGAGCCAAACATTGTCTTTCAAAGACTGATGGTATCACGACTCCCTGATTTTGAATTGCTAATCATGCAAAGAGAACAAAAGTTTATTCATCCCTCTGTTACATAATCTCATTTAGTCCCCTGGCAGCTCTGAATTTTGAAGCATCGGTCTTGACCCTCTGTATCCAATGCTACAACAGTTTGTCCTCCCATTATGCTTCCTCCTACATGGGATAGCATCTCTAAGAAAATTGGATAGAATGTTGCAACCACATGAATTCAACAGCCTAACGACTCTGTGAGCAGCCAACTGTGTGCTTCATTCTCACACTTGAACGGTTGCTAAGGAGCATTTGATGCCACCTAAGGACATGACGTAAATTAGAGTAGCTATAAAAAGTATGCACTAGCCCTGGACTACTTTTTTATGTGGGCAGTTAATCACATTGTTGTACCTCAGCTGATTTGACACTAATCAGCAGAGAGACCCATTTAATGACAAAGTGGATGCAGATTTTAACAATATGACTTACTGATGAGTGACAAAGAGAAAAAAAAAGTATTGGAATTGACTCTACAAGTGTCTGAGCTCTACTGGAAAGATGAACATTCTTCCAAAAGATATTCCCTCATGTGGTGTTTTGATAATGGTGATGGTGTAGACTGACAGTGATCCAACATGTCCCACAGGTGTTCAACTGGGCTGAGATCTGGTGACTGTGATGGCCACAGCATATGATTGACATTGTTTTCATACTCAAACCATTCTGTGATCCATTGTGCTCTATGGATAAGGGCACTGTCATTATGGAAGAGACCACCCATTTATTCAAGTTTTTCCTTGTAAACATTATAAAACAATTGGTTGCATAAATGTTCACACCTTTTACTATGAAATACTATATGTATAATCACTAGTGCAGCAAACCTAAAAGACATTTGATGAATTTTCACTTTTGTGTAATTATGGCACGACATACATACCTGTATGTGAAGTGTTCCATAGGCGTTAGTCATTTTGTTAAAAATTAAAAAAAAAAAAGCGACAAAGTACCTAGGCTTAGAACATTTACAGAAGTGAGTGTCCTGTCCCTCAAAGGCTGTTCATAATAATTATATGTCTGTGTGAAGAGAGCATTAGTGAGCAGCCACCAAGAGACCTGTGGACCTGAAAGAGCTGTAGGGTTTCACGATTTACATGGACACACTGTGTGCAACAACTGTGCAAGCGCTGCATCTGACCGTGGGGGTGGGGTAAGAATTTTCCAAAACCAAGCTGTTTGTCCATCCTATGAAGCTCAGTGATGCAACTTGAGCACTGCACAGACGTGAATGGACCATGCTCAAATGAAGCCTGGCAGTAGCAATGCCACACTGTGGGCATACTTATCTGCAGCAGGCCCGGGAAGGCTTGTGAAAGGGCAGGCTAACCACAGCACAGCAAAATGGAGACCCCCCCCCCAAAAAAAAATTCTACAATATGCAAGAGAACTGTGGGGGATTAATTTTAAACCAAGATAAAACTTGACAATAGAGCTAGACAGGAATGTCTTTAAAACAAGAAACTGACCAGAGACCAAACCTCAGCCCGATCAAGAACCTGTGGTAGGACATACTGTTGTTCACTTAGCCCTATGCCACGTGACAGAGAGCTTGGACCATGGATGTGTATACCTGTCAGACCTGTACATAGACTCAAAGCTGTATATGCCTCTGTCACAATTGTACTTCAAGTGATGATGTACTTGCATAATGTTGAATTTAGTCTGGATCATGTGTAGCCATTTGACATAATTTTCGTTCGTTTCGTGTCAAAAAGAAAGCCCAATTACATTCCACTACAGAAAATTTGAATAAATTACTTGTGCAACTGGTCTGTTCAGCAGTTTTGTCAGTTTCCCGTTTCACTTGCTGGGCTGTGTAAATAAATAAGACACCATTATGCCAATTCTGCTTTCCAAGATTGAAATCACTTCGTCTTGGAAAGGTAACAGTATCTCACGTAGTCTTACTTGCATATTGGGGGGACAAAAAATAAAAATAAATCTCAATTGCTGCAAATGATCACGACCACTTCAAAGTGCGTCACAAATGAAAGGCAGGCAGGCCAACTGCAATTTCAGTGATTTATTTGTACAATAGAAATTGAACTGTACAAATACCCCAGTTCAGATGTAAAGGCAAGAACACAAGCATCTATTCTGCCTGACCTGAACATCCCTCAAACCTCACTGTGAGCTTAGACTGATAAAAACATCTGCCCAGAAAAAAATAAGTTCAAAAACAAAAAAAAAAAAAAGCTACTCACAAAACAAATCAACATTTACAGGGCAAAACAAGACCCCAACTAAATCACAGCATACTGAAAATACTCAAAAAAAAGGCAAAAATCAGTTCAAGCTTTATGGCAGAGGAGCAGTTGTGATCTCAGTTCAAAAACCATGTAATTTTAAAAATGAAAGAGAAATACAGACAAGACATATGGTGATATTGCCATCAGGCCCATGTGCCTATGCCAACCTGTATCTCTACACCATCTACAGACAGTGTTGAGCTTTTACACACACAAGACAGAGATGGTTTTCAAATTTAAAAAAAAAAAAAAAGAGGAAAAGAAAACATTCCCCTCTCTGACCTGCCCCATGTAGAACATGTTTTGACAGCAATGGAGTTGACACGGTCCATTTTAATGGCATTTGTAAAGTTTCCTCTCAAAGCAATATCATTTGACATTCACTCAAATTTCCATTAGTCAATTACTAATGTTACTATGGAAACTCAATGTTTTATAAAAAAATAGACTGAAAACTGAACAAAAATACATCTTACACAGTTCAAATGTGGGGTGGGGGCTGAGTGACACAGCCAGACTTCCAATACATCATTTCATTTCTGGGGTTAAGGAATGCATAATGATGCTCCGCATATCAAGTCCTCAGCAGCAGTGACACAGTGAAAGCCACGGGTTCCATCTGGACCCCTTGGCAGCCTCATTACACCCAGTGGCAGGCCATCAGCATTCTGGATTTTTCTACCCAGCATCGGGCTGCCAACTGGACTGCTCTCCTGAGATGCTACCTGCTTGCGCCGCTGGACCCATGGGCTCCCTGAAGGGGTGAGGCTACTGTCTGACGAGTAGTCTGCCCAGCGGCACCCAGCCTCAGGGCTGAGTCTGCCCTCACTGGCTAAAGGAGACTTTTGGGAATGAGGAGTTTTGCGCTGAGGACAGGGGCTGCCACGGGGGCTAGACCAGGGACTATTACGCGGAGACATACTAGGACTCAGGTGATTGTTCTGGAAGCTGATGCCTGCAGTAGTGGGGCTGAGCTTGTTGCAAGATTGGGACTTCCTGGCCAGCCTAGGGGATGTAGGGTTGCTCTCAGTCTCTGAGGAGCTGCAGGCCGAGTCATCCCCATGATACTGTAGCTCTCGCACTCTGCTGTTGAGTGAGTGACTTTTACGTATCCCTCCCTCCTCACGTGGCCGTTCTTTGGATACCTTCTTCTTGGGCGGCTTGGTTCCAATCAGTACCACTTTCAACCCCAGTGAACTGGCCTTTCCATCATCACTCCCCACAGCTTCATTGGCTTTAACAGCAGCCTCAACCTCCTCAAACTCTACAATGGCACATTCCTCAATGCCTAGCTGAGTGTAGCGACCGCTCAGCCTTTTCAGGTCAGCTGGCAGATCCTTCCCGGGCTTCAGGACTCTGACAGAGGCGATGGCGCCATATGTTCCAAACGCTTTCAGCAACAGCTTCATCAGCTGCTCCTGCTGAGCGGCTCCTCCCTCGCTGCCTCCATTATCCTTAGTAAGAACAGCAAGCTCTGGCCACCTCTGCAGATCACTTAACAGCAGCATGCGGCTAGGCAGCGACTCACTAGCAAAGACTGGCACTGCAGATTTACGCCGTACTTTACGCCCCTCATCATTCAGCTCAAGTATCTTTGAGTGTTTCAGTGCATAAGCGGTTGTTCTCCAGTCACGAGTCAAGTGTTTCACCTGCAAAGAATCAATGCTTGTATTACACAACAGATTCTAAGCATTTTAGGAGGACCATCTCATAAGCATTAGGTCACAAAATTGAACTGTGCAACGGTTTCTCTTTTTGATTTGCACTTCAGTCCCCCAGAAGAGCCTAAACAATAACATAAGCCTGCCAGCACTAGTGTGTACCGCCTTCCTTTTAGTTCCACTTCCTGAGCCAGAAACAGACCTTTTGGCATTATATTCACTTGAGAATCAAGCATCCTTGCATCACTTAGTTTAAGTATTACTATAAAATACTGCTTATGTTTAAAATGTTCAACTCAGTGTTAGTGAGATGAATGCTTGTTTATAACAAAAATGAGCACGGAAATGGATACTCGGAACACTTGTAGCACAAACAGATTTTAAAAACCATACACACAAGCCAATAAATTTGTATGCACAAGTGTAAAGTAGCACCAGATGTTGTGAATGAATGTGAGAATATCACTGCATCCCCAACAGCCTTTTAATTGCTATTCAGTTCTCACAAGCTTTGACGTCATTAGAAATTAAAAATGGCAAGCTTGGAGCTTAATACAGGTATGCTAAATGTGAATGACACTGTGCTCATTTGACAATCGTAATATATCATACAACATTAAAAGCACACAATGCAGTAGGTTATTTATCATGTGGCATGTACACTATATTGTAGCAAGGGTTTGTGTCCAGTTTCCAGCATCATCTGGATAGGGAATGACCACTATGTTTCCAGACTATATTCAAATGCTCTGTAGCCATGGTTACCTTTTTGAACGAGGTGAGCAACTTGACGCTGACAAATCCAAGTTTGTTGCGTCTCACATGTTTGAGCAGGAAGGCATCATGCTCCAGGTTCTCGTCAGACAGGTAGTACTCGATCTGAGCGACCAACTTCTGGATGAGCTCTGAATCTGGGGGCTGCCAACTCTCCTCCTCCAGCTCCCCTCCACTGGTCCCGGCCCCGCTGTGTGTGGGAAGACAACATGCCTCATGGTCAGTAGAGACTCTTCTCTAGTGCATCACTGAAACAACTGAATGTTTCATGTTCTAAACTGTCAACTGTTGCACATTTCATTTTCATTAATACAATAAGCCAGAGGCTTACAAATTGTTGGCAGGAATACATACTCATTTTGCCATTTCCCTCTGAAACATGCTGGGGTGAAAAAAATGGACTGTTTGCTTCCCTCCTTTCAGCAGTTGACAAGCTGTGTCTCATCACCATGTCTCAGTGCCAGACCTTGACACCAGTGTCCCACCAGTCCTGAAACTGCCAAGACCTCTCCATCTGAAGGGAGCACAGTGACAGGCTCTCCCTCCCACACAGAATATGGTGGCTCACCACACCAACGTCACACAGTTTACGAAAACCGGTAATAACAGTGCATATCTGAGTCTTATGTACAACTTGATAGACACCTGGCTGAAGTTGGGAAGCAGCACAGTCAGGTAGCTCTGCAGATTATCATGAGGGTCTGAAAGAAATTTTGTGGATGACTCATCACCTCCTCCCTTGCACACACTCTGCCAACACTTTTCCAGCTGGCTGACCACACACCTGGCATGAGCTCACAGCTTCCCCGGGACTTCAGGTAGATAACCACAAGCATGAAGAGAATACGGTCACCAAATAAGAGAATTTAGACATGAATTAATGTAAAACAATGATTTGGGATACTGCATTTTTTTCAAGTAGGCTGTGATGAAGTCAACTTAAAGGCACTAGTTAGTGCACTGGAAGCGTGCAAGAATGTTGCAGGACTGTCAGATGAAAAACACCCACATGGGAAGACTGCTGACAATCATGCTCTTCTAGAAGTTTCTCTATCCAATATTTAATGATCTTAAAACAGCTGGTGTGCCACAAAGCAAAGGTCTGCACGTGTTACAGGAGCTCTGCGTCAGAAAGCCACCAAGGTGAGACCTGCAAGTAAAGTGAAACGCTTGGTATGAAGGATTTATTTCCCCTTTGGCCTTTCTGTCACTGACTCAGTCTTTATACAAGTAGTTGAAGAAGGAATTTATAGGCCACAGGATAGAAATAGCAGGTCACGACGCAAGGGAATCAGATTAAAGTGATGTCGCCATCCTTTATCTCCCTCCCTGCTTTCAGGTGTCTCATTTTATAGCACTGACGTCGCCTACAGGTGTTTTGACGTACCCGCAGTCTCGCCCAGGACAATATGGCACCTCTTAGCTCTGTGAGAATTTACACTCCCAGTTGTGAACATCTATTGTCCTCCTCCCACAGTGCAGTCACTGTCTTTTGTTGCGACTGTGGTACACCTGTCCGGATTATAGCTGCATGTGAATAGGATCCCTTTAGGCAACCAGCATTCTTTCAGTAAAGCAAACAATCCAACGGCACCCACGCTGCTCATGTGTTGGCAGCTCACCAGCTTTAGTTAAAGGCACAAAAATAGACTAAACTCGATGTAGGTTCCACTGACATCGACATAAAGAGGAAACGGCTCCACTCATCCTCTAACCTTAGTGAACACACTTTACTGATGAATTTACATATTTATACCTTTCGAGGAAAACAGCTTTTGTTTACCTAATGAGGATATGATTTGTATTTACAGTTTACAGACCTCGTTGATGCCACATCACTGGCTACTAAGAGAATTTAATTAGCACTCAAACCTTGATTTGTCATGTCTTCCGATTTCATCCTCACTACAGCTGCCTCCAATGAAGTTAATACTACTGGCTGACACTTCCTCTGGTTCCTCGTCCTCTGCCGCTTGAATGGCCACGGTTATTGTCACCGTTCCCATCTCTTGCGTGAGCTGATCCACGGTGATTACCTCATCGATGCCCTGCTCCGATGACGCACGTGAGGCACACTCCGCTGGGTTCGGACTGGGGGTCCCTACGGACCCACTCATGTTCCTTGAATAAGTCAAGGTGCTTACAGCCGCTCCTTCCCCTTCCTCGGTTGGTGTAGTAGTAGCAACAGCAGCGCCTTCTTGGAGGGTTTTAATCTTTCTCGACTCGAAGACACAGACAGGATACGGGGTGTGTAAGCCTGTTCGGTGCTTTCTCGGGCTCCAGTGATGGCGGAGAAGGACCCAGGGGGCTCCGAGGACGCGCTCCACGGCTCGCCAGACACCCCCGAT